GGGCGCCGAGCTTAGGGGGCGCCAAAATGGGTTGGAAAAATAAATTGAAAGGTTGAGGGGGGTGCAAATCAAAATCTCGAGGGGGGGTGCAAATCAAAATCTCGAGGGGGGGTGCAAATCGAAAAGTTTGTCCCCGGGCGCCGGGAAGGGTCGCTACGCCTCTGGTGAGGGGGGGGGGGCTCAGCCGCCCTCCCGAACGAAATGGATTTTTTATAGAAAATATATACTTTTAACTTTTGTCTGAATACAGGTGTGTAAGATAATATTCTAATGTCTAAAGGGTTGAGGCCCTTAACTTCAATATGATTAGCATTTATCTACTCGACTTAACCCCAAACTTAAGGCAAAATGAAAAAAAAAGATTTTAAACGGAAATTATCCTAACATGAAGAACAGCAGAGATTTTTTTTTTTTTTTGTTTTAGCTCAGATCCTTGACAGAAGAGCACAAACAACACTTAAAACAGACATTAGTCATGTTCATTTTTCATGTTCATGTACATTTTTTTGTTCCTAGCAAAACCTTCTTATATAGAATGTATGCCTTGTGGAATAATCTTCATAATCCTCCGCGTGATACCCAGATTTTAGCAACGCTTTTATTAAAGAGCTGTGGTATGATTATATACGGTAAACGTAACAATGGGACATTATGTAAACACTACTATAGTTCAAGCGTGATGAATAAAAGGTGTAAGTGTAGAAATTACAATAAAACATTTTTGTTATTGCTTTAGATCTGAACTTGATACTTTCTGGTAAACAATTTATCAGTCCAACTACGCCTTCCCATCTGATGATAAGAGCCGGATTTATTTAGGCTTTTAGGCAAAAGGCAAACGTGTAGATTCTGACCAGTACCCTATTTTTTATTTTTTATTTTAGCGGGTTAATGGACAGATGTATGAACTTCCCCTGGGTTTACTGGTTGGCCCGGAATTTGATGAGTTAAAGTCGTTAGCATTATGCCCAGCCGCCCTTTATTTTCCCCGATGCGAGTCAGGTACTCATCACAGCTGGATGGACTCAGGGATATCTCACTGACACAAGCTCGTGAACCGAACTCGAGACGTTCGTGTTCGTAATGGTACGCTCTGTCGCCCGACCACACCATTACATGTGTCTCTTACAATAAGTTGGTGCTCCATTGCCGCCCACATTTGTTGCAGACTCCTAGCGGCGTCAGTCGTCGTGTGAAGGTCTGTCTGACGTGGCACGCACACCACGTGGGTTGTGACGTAAAAGGTGAACTGATCTGAAAGGCTAACTGGGGTTTTAGTCGCGACCTCCACGGGGGGCCTCACGCCACTTAACATCAACCCATCAGCTGAAGGAGAGCTTAACTGATGAGCTAAGTAAGACCTACTTCAGTTAAAACATCTGTCTGGCGGTGAGGTTGTAGGTAAGGATGGCTTTCAGACTAAGAGGTGCAGTGTAGTGTAAGTGGATTTTGGGCCGAGTCACGCGATATTACTCGATTTTAATTCCTCCCCTCACCCCCTTCCCTTCAAGCAAATTATCGTCAAGCGTCACAAAGCTCGACCTCCCTTTGATGCTAAAAACATGAGTCGTCAATTTTGTCTGTTGTTCATTGCATCACTAAACCGTATGTATATATATATATATATATATATATATATATATATATATATATATATATATATATATATATATATATATATATATACATACAATTAAGCTGTGTTACAGCACTAAACCTACTACGGTTCATGCTGCTACAAGTGTCTTACCTTTTAAGACAACGCCGAGGCACGATACCTGTAGCTTCTCCCGAGTTATATCAGAGAAATTGTAACAACGCAATAATGTATTGCAATCCGTTTTGTTTTTAAAAGAATTACTCGGCATGTTAGCTTCTCATAGCTTGAGAAGACACTACAAATATAGAAGAAAAAAATGTGTTGACTCAAAGACTACTTTTCTACAACCTTGATCCAGTTTGTCGTCTACTCACTAGTAACATTCTAACCAGTGTGTGTGTGTGTGTGAGACGTTTTGTGGGTGTGTGAAGTGGTGTGGGTGGTGTGGGGTGTATCATGTGACTACACTCAGTACATATTACTGTAGTGTGGGCTGGGGGTTTGTATTCACCGCACGGTCGTGATCACGTGATACCCGCTAGAGAGCGTGACTCGTCCGTGCTCTTTCAGTCTCTGGTTGGCCTATACTTTCACGCTGCAAGTTATTCTTGTATCATAAACTAAGCACTAAGTCAAGATAAACTCACATCTTTAACTAGTCATATAAACCAGTGAACTAGAAACAGTTCAAATTATACACTGCTAGGCATAGCATATCTCACAAAGACTGTAAACGTAATTTTAATTGAACCTTTTTGAACGTTTAATATTAGACATAAAATGATATAGATATATGAATAATTCTAAATTAATGGATTAATTTTAATGAAATTTGTAAAAGTTATTTGCTATTTTTCAATGCAGTAATTCGGGATTTAATAAAGTAAGAAATATTGAAACATAATCAGTATTAAAGACTTGATTGAATTTACAAGTTTTCTGAACTTTTATTTTTATTGATACACCTGAAGAATATTTTTTTTCAATTGCCCTGTATTCTCGCTATTTAATTAAGTGTACAGTTTATGAAAATCCTGTTTCATTTTTTTTTGCGGTATAAAATTTACATTTTAATCAATAAAAACAGCAAAAGGAAAAAAAATAAAGCTATAGAAACTTTTTTTAAAATTTATTTTTCGAAATGATCTACAAGGTAACACATGCAATATTCGATGTATTCCTGTATTCACCCGGCCCTTTTCTTTCAGTAGTAGCATGAAGAATTTTTGTTCTAGCTAACTTGTGTGTTTTATTTTTAAAAATTAACATTTCAAATTATTGAAGACAAACATTGTATTCGCTAGGATGAAAGCTTTGCGTGACCAATCAACCCTAAAAACGATCCGAGCAAAATTTACCGAAAACTTTACATAAACTCCAAGAAATCCAAAACAACAGATCGCGTTTTATCAGCTTTTATTCGGTTCATAATGGCAGTTTGTTTATTTAAGCTCAAATTTGTTTGCTTCGTTGATAAAATTTTGTTTTGAAAAAAAAACGCGCGTATAAAACGTTTGAGAAATAATGTCCATCTGAACAACCAGGATTTTGGTTACAAAAAATATTTTTAAAAACTAAATAAATAAAGTTATATATATATATATATATATATATATATATATATATATATATACATATATATATATATACATATATATATATATATATATATATATATATATATATATATATATATATATATATATATATATATATATATATATATATATATATTATACAAATGTTTTTGACAATCTGCACTCAAACGACTTGATCATCGAGACTGTCGCTACGACTACTAAGTGTATTTTCGATACTAAAAAACTACATAATTGTTAGCGTGCTTACATTACTAAAAACTACATAAATGTAAGCGTATTTTATCACTAAAGACTACATAATTGTTAGCGTGTTTTTATCACTAAAAACCACTTAATTTTTTATCGTGTTTTATTAACTAAAAACTACATAATTGTCACCTTTTTTTTTCATCTTTAAAAACTACATAACTGTCAGCGTGTTTTCAATACTAAAAACTACATGATTGTAAGTTCCCGTTTAGAGATAACGGCCCCTGTGGCAGAAGAAACAGAGCTCATCTGTTTCTCTGAGCTCACGTGCAGCGGTCGTGTGGTCAGTACTGTGTCCAGCTGCGTGTACCTACCCCGAATCAAAAACACATCAGCCCACAAAGACGCCCTACATCAAATCCGTGTGGACTAAACTATCATTAGGGTCAGGGGAGGGATAGGTTTGACTCATAAAGAAGAAATATTATTTAAGAGTATGTTCAATCTGTGGAAGGGGGGGGGGGAGATTCGTTACACGGGGAACTTTACTCTTGCCATCAAGACATTTTTTTTAAAAATGTGATCTATGAGTATCTGACCTGGGGTAGGGAAGGCTGCTCTGGTCATCAAGAAAAAAAAATGTTATCTATGAGTATCTGTATTAATGGCGTGGCCTAGCGGTGGAGCGCTAGACTGCTAACCCGATAGTTTCGAGTTCGAATCCGGGTTCAAGTTAGTGGAGTCCACCCAACTTTGATGGGAACCTAACTCGTTACGGAAAGTAAAGGCGGCTGGGCATAGTGCTGACCACATTATCCCTTTATATACCGAGGTCAAGAAACACTTGAACTCCACTTCATCTGCGCAATGGATCGTTAGGTCTAAAGAGGAATCTTTACTTTTTACTTTCTCGTATATACAAAGTATAGAGAAAGTATTGTAATCGTGCAAAAAAAAAATTCTAGATTTTTACAAATCTCGACGTTTTACACCTCACTGATACGGAAAAACATAATTTTGCAATCTTGTCCGTATGTCTGTGTGTCTGTCTGTGTGTGTGTGTGTCTGTCTGTGTGTAAACACGATAACTTGAGTACCGTTACAGCTAGGTTGATGAAATTTCATATATAAGTATTTTATCAAAATCGTAGTTCCGTATCAACTTTTGAGCGATTTCCGATAACCGGAAGTGGTACTTTTTCTACTTTGAATTTTTCAAAAGCCTATAACTTGAGTACTATTTGAGATAGATAAATGAAATTTAACATGTAAGTAAAAGATCTAATTCTCTACATTCTGTCAAATTTTGAGTAATTTCCGTTGAACGGAAGTAGCAATTTACGCTACTTCCGATTTCTCAAAAAACTAATGTAAAATTTTAAAGTACTAATAATATTGCGCACTATTATGCACTTTTTTATTTGGCGTTCACTTGGTGTGCAATTCTTTTGTCTACGAGATTTTATTCTATTTTTAAAACTTTAAGTATTTAAAATGGATTAAAAATCATGTCTATAGCCCGAGTTCCCATCCCCTGTTATTTTTTATAAGAATATTCGAGAAAGTTTAGGGGAGATCACTCCCGGTTTATTATTTTATGAATATCTGACCTGGGGGAAATTCGTTGCTCTGGTCACCATCAGCGCCATTGTCTGTGTGGGCTTGAGCCTCGTCCACCATAGAAACCAGGAAGATGAAACAGGTTAGGATAAAAAATTTCGTGCTGTCTGGGCAGATCATGGTGAAAATGTTTTCTGGGGAAAATTGAGAGACATTTCTATTTATTAGATATACGTCAAAGCAGTGGCGTAGCGAGGTCGTGTGTCACCCGGTGCGGCACTTAATGGTGTCACCCCCCCCCCCCCACAGGCGTAGTGACCCTTCCCGGGGACAAACTTTCAAACTTAACTTTCGATTTCCACCCCCACCCCCCCCCCCCCCGTCAAGTTTTTTGCTATTTTGCTATTTTTTGTCTTGGTGTCACCCCCTAAATGGTGTCACCCGGTGCGGTCCGCACCCTCCGCCCCCCCCCCCCCCTCGCTTCGCCCCTGCGTCAAAGTATTCTTATAAACATGCAAAGCAGATTTTGAAACAAAATATTATATACATCTAAAAACAAATTATATTAAACTTGTGTTGTAGATCTAGAAAAATATCAGTTAAGAAAATATATTAATTCATAAGGTTAACTATTATTTTATTTTGACACTGCAAAATGTAAGAAAAATGTAAGAAAAAAAACGTTAATTAGACTTTGCTAGAAAGTTTGAACAGAAGTAAGGAAACTGTGTGGCTGTTTTAAATTTCTGCAACTTTACTATGTTTAAAGGTTGGCTAAAGTTTGAATAAAACTGAATAAAATTTCCTCTGCGTTTCTCCATTATATAGAAAATGCTAGAAAAAAAAATTCAGAATTCTTTAACATTAACACAAACCAACAGAGAATGGTGCTTTAAGCTTTGTTATTATCAACCCGATTTTTATTAAAACTATTTTTTTTAAACAAAAAAAGAAACGTAAAACAAAACTTATTTCAAAACTTTAAGATAGTGAGGATTTATCCCGCATTTAAGGCTGTTTTAGAAATTTCAAATTTTCACATTAAAAAATGCATATTCAAAAAAGTTTTCAATATAACTTGTTTATTAAAATCAAAGTAACAAATTAAAATAAAATAACGAAAGTGCGTTTAATTAATAAACATAACTTACTGAATGATCTAGAAGCTTTAAAGAATTTCAGTCTGCTCGTTAGCTTTGACGTCTGCTGAAAAGGAACTAAAAAGTTTAGCGCTGGATGGGGTGAAGAAATAAAGGCGGTGACGACACAGACTTGTGACGTAATGAGCACCTCCCTGCGCTTCTGAACGGCCGTTTCACACGGTGTCCGCCCGTCACGTAGCGTTTTATACCCGGATGATCCCACGCGGGATCACCTGCCCGTCTGGCACTGCGGCGGGCGTCACGTGGCCCTGATATCCCCATCAGGCATGTGATCACCGACACCCCGCCCCCCCCCCCCCCCCCACCCCCACCCCCTCCGTATAATCTTCCCTTGCGCGTGTTACTATCGAACTAATTAAAAACGTATTTACGACCTTCACCTTCTGTAATTAAATAATTACATAAGCTATTTCCCGGTATCACATCTATTCTCCAGTTATCCTACTTTAACAACTAATTATTGAATATTGTCATTATCTTCAAGGATTCTTCATTCAAGAGAAAACCAATTTTTATTACGGCAACTCTAATAGTAGCTTAAGTTTTATTTATTAACCCGTTCAATGTCGTCACTATTGAACCTTGGGTCGGTGAGTGTAAGAGGAAAGCGCTATTTAGAAGCGTACTATCGGGAAGTACACATTTTTCCGTAAAAGGAAAACGTAATTCAGGGGCGGAGGAGATACACGTATGTCGCTTCTTCTTCTTCTTCTTCTTCGTTCTTAATTATTAGTGTTGAAGGGGATCGAGATTTATCTGCCAGTGGGTTTGAACTCGAGACTTTGTTCGAATTTATCAACCATGAACTTTTTGCCGACTCGACCACGCCTCCAACACAATTAAGCGTTACGTGTCAACTGGTTATGCGCCATTGAGGCCATTGACTCCAATTTCAGCCTGCTTTTCTTTTTGGATTTGCTTTCATAGCCTTTGTCCAATCAAGAACAAACTACAAGGCAGCAGTTGTTTGATTTTGGAGTTGTCTCTCATAGAAGAGTGGCGGTCCCCAGCTAACGAGCCTCATCTGCCCGAAGGTTCGAACTCGAGACTTTACGGTGTAGCAACGTATGTCGCGAAAGAACACATTTTTGGGGACATCATGGACACCAATTCGTCAGGGAAGTGGACGAAAATGGAGAGAGTAGACGAAAATAGTTGTAGATAACTATCTGTATACATGCGGTTTGGTGCAACTAATAATATTTGTATCAAAATATAGCATAAAAAAAGAAACAGGCTGACAATGTATGGATTCGAAGAATGATTAGAAGTTGTCAGAACAAGAATAGTCGGGGTGTGTATATATAGGAGCCGGACTTTTTCCCGAAAAACACTAGCCCGAATACCGTTTGCCCGAAGGCCACCACTTGCACGAATGTGACAAATGCCGGAATGGACACTTGCCCGAATGCGACAAATGCCCGAATGGACACTTGCCCGAATGCGACAAATGCCCGAATGGTCACTTGCCCGAATGTGACAAATGCCGGAATGGACACTTGCCCGAATGCGACAAATGCCCGAATGGACACTTGCGCAAATGCGACAAATTACCGAATGGACACTTGCCCGAATGCGACAAATGACTAAAAGCCACTAGCCGAAGGCCGTTTGTCCGAAAATGTTAATATTATATAATAAATTGTGTTACCAAATAGACATTCTTAATCACAAAGTATGACATTTTGATAAAACAATTCTAAGCATAAAAAAACAAATTTGTTTATTTTTTTTTAAATTTAGCTTTTATTTATTGAATTTTGAGAAATTGCAGAATTTTTTACAATTTTAAAAAAAATAAATGTGAGGTGATGTTGGCGGCGGTATCTTTACAATTTTTAACACGTTTTTCTTAACTCAGCTTCGCGTTTTTTGATTAATGTATTAAACACCTTGTTTAGCCAACGTGTTGCAGTGGTTATAGAGAGTTTAGTACATAGTGTAGGCGGCACGGCGTCTCGCAACATTGAACCATACTCGCGTTTGTTTGATTTGTGTTGTATACTTAACTTGCTTGGTGATCATTTCACTGAAGTACGAAACGCGGTTTAGGCTTTTCAGGCATTTGTCCCAATCGGGCAAGTGTCCATTCGGGCATTTGTCGTATTCGGGCAAGTGTCCATTCGGAAAATCGGCCTTCGGACAGGCGGCGCTGGGGGAAAGTGTCTTTTAGGACACTGGTAAAAGTATATATGTTCTATATAAATTATTTTTCGCACGGGAGGGGGGGGGGCAAAACGAAGAACGTCACACCCCCCCCCCCCCCTCCCCGCCAAAGAGATGTCTGAAAGAAACTCTGCGTAGATGGCTAACGGGCTGTCCTGGACGAAACAACGCAGCAGTTCACGTGCAGCCACTTGGTACACTAGTTTGTTTTGGCTTCAAATATTTTTAAAAAAACTTGTCGCTTCTATGGTTACACGAGTTGTATTCATCTGCTTTCACAACAATATTTGTGCATTTCTATTTTTCTTTACAGTGTTTTTTTTTTTCAAAAAGATTTTCCATAATATTTTCATAGAAATATTTTTAAGCTCTTTATTTAAAGCATCCTTATTGAAAATAATTTTCAAACACGTCTTCATAGTTCTAGCTCAAAGCTCAAGGACTCTAATCCACTGTTGAACTCAACCCCGACTGATATGTCAAGGGCGATAACACTGCTCAGGTAGAGTTACGATTGTGCACATTGATAAGAGTTATACCTTTTTTGGCTTTAATTATTTTGCCAGGCTCTCTATGAAACTGTTATTAAACATTTTAATTGATATAGATTGTAATCCACGTGGTTCAATTCAAACAAAAGAATAAATTAAAATCTCTTGCGGGTGATTTTTGGGACTTCTTGAGAGAGAAGCCAGGTATCGTAGTTTCGTATCTAAACTGCCATAAATACCAAGTCAACGAATGTCGAGCAGTTTTTAACTGTCAGTTTAAGACAATACTTTGTGAGCTGAGCTTTGAACCCCGTGCCCGCTACCTGCATACAAAGTTAGCGTGGCAATATCTGATCAGCTCTATTTTATTCGCTTCTCCCCCTGCCACCCATCGATTTCTAGATCCGCCATTCTCCCGGCTCGACTCCTTTCCGGAAAATACCAAAGGGGGCGCTTTACGACCCGCGAAACGTTGACATATCCGGATTAGATTTTGAGTGCTGACTTCCGGTCTGGAGTTTTCGAATGTACCGCTGGATGACAAACAAAAGATCGCTTGGCCGTTTGCTTTCAGCCGCCAGCAAACCTCGTTAGGTGGGAGATTAAACCGAGGCTGACACAGTGACGAGTTCAAAATTTTAACTTTATTCACGAATCAAATATGCAATTATCTCCATCACAAAGGGCCGTTTTGGTTTTGCTGAAAATAACTTATTTTAATACCCATTTAAATAGGGCATTATATATATATATATATATATATATATATATATATATATATATATATATATATATATATATATATATATATATATATATATATGCATATATATATATATATATGTTTATTTATATATATTTATATAGAGACAACAGCGATAGAGTGCTGTAGCCATTTTCAAATTCTCGATGCGACACTATGTTGCCAGGGTAAGGCTCTAAGGAGTAAGTGGGGTGGGGGTAACAATGCACACATATGCATAATTAAGCTAAAACAGTTCGAAATGTTTTACCTAAAAGTATAAACTGGGTTGAGAATTGGTGTTTTATTTAGGAGAGGTTTTCTTTTGGTTTAGTGAATACGGGTTGTTATATTATTAATACACTATACTATAGAGCACTCTATTTTAAGTGACTACTGACCACCCAATCGTACGCGACTACTGACCACCCAAATTGTATGTGACTACTGACCACCAAATTGTACGTGACTACTGACAATCCAGTTTTACATGACCACTGACCACCACCCTATTTTACGTGACCACTGACCACCACCTTATTTTACGTGACTACTGACCACCACCCTATTTTACGTGACTACTGACCACCATATTTTATGTGACTACTGACCACCACCCTATTTTACGTGACTATTGACCACCCTATTTTACGTGACTACTGACCACCACCCTATTTTACGTGACTACTGACCACCACCCTATTTTACGTGACTATTGACCACCCTATTTTACGTGACTACTGACCACCACCCTATTTTACGTGACTACTGACCACCACCTTATTTTACGTGACTACTGACCATCCTATTTTACGTGACTACTGACCATCCAATTTTAAGTGACTGCTGACCACCACCCTATTTTACGTGACTACTGACCATCCAATTTTACGTGACCACTGACCATCCAATTTTACGTGAACACTGACCATCCAATTGTACGTGACTTTTGAACTCCCACCTCAACAAACAAACTCTTTTTTTCACCAACCATCGGTACACAACAACAACAAAAATCGCTGTCCTTGTGACGTCATTGCCCACACCTCACGCCAGACATAATTTATACAACAATATTGGCCCTCTTGTGCGACAAAACGCTTGATTAAGGATCAGCGTGACAGATTAATCTCGGGTGGGGCGTCCCTCCCCCTAGAACCGCCCAACCGGCCTAGCCATGCAGATATTGCATAGAATCTTATACATTATTAATTTTTCTAAAACAAAAACAAAAAACCCCGTTCGTCTCGATCTCGAGTAATATTAATTACAAACCACTGATGATCTAAGATAAATTGATTGCATTTCTTTTTTATCTAACGCAAGTTATAACATCTTGACGGGTCTGCTGATTTTTTGTAATTTTTTTGTAATCTTTGTCTGCTCATTTCATTCCTGATCTTGTACAACAACAGCCAATCCTTTAGAAAGATCGGGTTTTCTCCAAAACAAAAAGTCCGTTAAAAAAACGTATAGGGTGGAGGTGGGGGAGGGAACGGTACTCAACAAAGCTGTTGATGTTCCAGATAGATCACCAGCATTAATTTCTCCGCTGACAATCTCAAACTGCCCAAGATATGCCGCATCGTTCTTTGGCGTCATCTTTAACATTTAACCAGAATCTTGTTAGCGTCAGTCATGTTTCAATGGCAAGATAAAGAAATCTATAATTAATTCAAAGAAGACGCTAAAGCTTTTGGACGTAAGACATTCAGCACCGGAAGTTGATATGGAGCGGTGAAACAAACCTTGCGTCATACACATTTATTTTGATATTTATGTATACAGAATTTTTTAAAGAATTCGGTTAGATCTAACCTTAAGATTATCGATTGATTAACTGGAGAAGCAGTGGCGTACGCAGGAGTTGTCATAAGGCCCAAAGTATTTTCATATATATATATATATATATATATATATATATATATATATATATATATATATATATATATATATATATATATATATATATATATATATATATATATATATATATATATATATATATATATATATATATATATATATATATATATATATATATATGGTGCCCTGCCAAAACGGCCCGGGACAAATCGGCCCCGTTAATATGACCCCGATAAATCGACTACCGACAAAACGACCCAGTCAAAATAGCCCCGTCAAAAGGGCCCCGACTTATTGGCTCCCGTCAAATGGGCTCCCGTTATATTGACTCGCGACATATAGGCTCCCGACAAATGGACTTTCGACATATTGGCTCCCGACATAAGGGCTTACAACAAATGGGCTCACGACAAATGGGCTCATGACATATTGGCTCCCGACAAATGGGCTCCCGACAAATGGGCTCCCGACGTATTGGCTACCGACAAAATGACTCCCGACAGATTGGCTCCAGACAAATGAATGTCAGGACCACTATTGGCATACAAGTAACCATTTTGTCGTACCTCCACTACTACTATAACCTCTTTTTAATGCCTGAATAAAATTGTTTTTCATGAACCAACATCAATTCTCAAACAAATCAAGCTCTTAACAGCTAAAATCTACCAATTCTAAAATTTTGATAATGTTTAATTTACAACAGTAAAGATCTGATGCATAAATACGGAAGTGAAAATGTACGATATACACGATGTTTACAGGATAAGGCATTTTGTTTTGATAACCTACAAGCATACTGGAGGTAGGAAGGTACAGCGTGGACCCTTCTCCCCACACACTGAGTTGAAACAGCCTATAACCGACTCAATTACGGAAGTCATAGATAGATGACCCTTAAATTAAAACATACTATATTTTATAATAGATAAACTAATATAAAAATAAGGCCTGCCGAACAAGAGATGCATACGTTGTATTACTTAAGAGTGTTGGATAAGCTAACTCTAAAGAATATTGATGAAGGGGTCTCACTGGCAGGTGTCATATTCAATGAGACCGCTTTGCCGGGAGACTTAGTCTCTACAGAAACGGTATTGTCAGTGGTCCTTTTGTCTGGAGCCAAATTGACAGGAGCCTTTTTGTCGTGAACCAAAATGACGCTAGCCTATTTGTCGGGAGTCGTAATGACGGGGGCCGTTTTGTGGAAAAACTAAATGACGGGAGCCTATATGTCGGGAGCCAAAATAGCGGGAGCTTATTTGTCAGGAGCCTTATTGACTGGAGCCCTTTTGTCGGGAGCCTATATAACGGGAGCCTATTTGTCGGGAGCCTAAATGACGGGAGCCTATTTATCGGGAGCCTTTATGACGGGGTCCATATGTCGCTGGCCATTTTAACGGGGTCAATTTGACGGGGCTCTTATGTCGGGGCCGATTTGTCGGGGTCGTTTTGACGGGGCCGTTTTGTCATTGGCCGTTTTGACGCCGCACGATATATATATATATATATATATATATATATATATATATATATATATATATATATATATATATATATATATATATATATATATATATATATATATATATATATAATGTATATATAAATACTCCAAAAATATTTTAAGAACGTATGATTTTCATTTTTATTGCATACAAAATACAATATTTTAAAGTAGTAAATAAAACGCGATGCGAGCACACCGTCTCCAACACTATAGTTTAACATAATTTCTAAGTTATTTAGGTGCAGAGTATGTTGTTACCCCTCCCCCCCCCCCCCCCCCCCAAAAAAAAAAACCCACCTTCCTCTTACGCCACTGTGCCCAAGTGTAGTCTTCCAGTCATTTTGAAAATAATTTATAGTAAGACAAGACAGTGTTGTTTTCGCACGACTTTGTTTACACGCCCTTTTCTGCTTGATCTTTGAAGAAATTCATTGATAAATATTTTTTTATAATGACCCAGTTAGTGACGCAACGTATTCCGCAATCGCACATCACACTTACAAAACAAAGAAGTCGCATGTAATGAAAAATGGGCATTCATTACAGATTTAATACAAAACCCTACTTCACCTGCACTCGACAAGTTTCGATGCATCAATAAATTTTTTAAATTTTGTTTAAAAAAGAACTATGAATCTCTTTTCATTCGTTCTACATTCAACTGCTCAATTTTAACAACACGTGTAAGTCACCTGCAATAGTTGCAGCAAGACTCAGGTTTCAAGCTTTTATTTTCTTACCTATTCCTAGAAATTTTTCTCCGGTGTGGGGGGGGGGGGAATGGGACTTACTTTTCATGGAGGGGTAGGGGGTGGACACTCGTCAAAGTATATAATTTATATATAAATTATATATAAATATATATTTTTCAATTTCGTTCGGGTGGCAATAGATCCCCCCCCCCCCTCATTTCAACCCCACCCCAAAGAGATGACTGAAAGAAACCCTGCCTATTCCCTACTTTTTTAAAATGCTTTTATTTCCAATGCTTGGGACACAGATTTCCAAGTTTTAATTCATTCAGTTAACATCAGAACATCTCAGGAACAAAAGTAACATATGCTAATTAGTTGTTAATCAACCGTCTTCATCTGCAGGCTGGAGAAAAAAGCTCAACGGTTATTAGCAATAGCATTTGCATATCTGCAATAGGCGATTAAACTAATTGGCGCTGCGCATCCAACTTTCATGGAAAGATGAAAACAAAACACCCATTAAATGTGGTATGATTTAATACATTTTTTAATTGTATATTTAATATTTTATTTTATAATTAGTAAAACGATAATGGTATTACATACATTACATTTATAGTTTACCCTTCCCATTTGTATTTTCCCAAAGACATAGCTTCGCATACTCTGGTTCTAATTTTTGGAACAATCTTTCTAATAAAATAAAACTATCTGTAACTGAGAACATGTTCAAAACAGTACTAAAAAATATCATATTTCTTGACCTTCTAAACTGAGTCATCGGGGCACTTCTTATCAGTGTTTCTTCCAGTCATCTCTTCGAGGGAGCAGAGACCGCCCCCCCCCCCCCCCCACGAAAACGTCTACCGCCCCTCGAACGAAATAGAATTTATATAGAAAATATATACTTTTAACAGTGTCCGCCCTCCCCCGGAGATAAAAAGTCGGGAAGAAATACTGCTTCTTATTAACCTATTATGTTCTTTTCATTTCTTTATTCCACATTTTAAAATTCTATTTTAGACTATATCATTTAAAAAATTGCTATTTTATTAAAATGGTGTTGATATGTATATTTTAAAGATTTTTTTGTTTAATTACAATGTAGAATGATTATCAAGCCTATTATAAATTAAAACTATATAAACATTTCTTTATTTTAGTTTCTTTTTATAGACTGGAAGTAGCGTACGCGGAGGGGGGGGGGGGGGGGGGGGGGGGGGGGAAGAAATCTAATAAGAGGGGCTACTCACTTTCTGGCCATTTTCAGAAACGTAGCTTCTTTTAGAGTCTATGTAAGAAATGTTTTTGATCGGCACATCGATGTAAATTGCACACGATGAATTGTGATTTTTTTTTTAGAAAGAAGTTTAAGAAGCCTACAGTTTGATAATTATTTTTATTCGTGTTGGACATGTGTGGTTGACATTTTTATGGTCCTTCTAACCACCAAACAAAGATAAAACACAACACCAGCAATAAGCAAGTATGTTTAATAAAAGCCATCTAAATAAGCACTGGAGTATAGCTAGACTAGAATACAAAAGATTATACTCTATTTACTAAACAGCTAAGGAAACAGACAATAAAACTGCCAAGGGCTGTTCAAGAAACAATACAAAGACTCAAATATTCATAGATAAATTTATTAATTAATGACATCTAATAGGTGATTAGTGACATAAATAAAATGTTTATCACAACCAAAAAAAAATTTTCACACAGGGGGAAGTTCACCATGGACAATCATCTTTCTCTTGATCTTAAAACTATGGTGTTGCTACGGTGAGGGAGCAAAACTTGGGTCGAATCGAAACTTGGTCAAGAGAAGGACCAATGGTTTAGCCATTTAAAAATGTGATTTTAAAAAATAGAAACACTTTCAAGACCTGAACATCTACTGTATGGCATAGAAGATAAACATTGGTACACCAGGATACAAAAAGACATTTTGATGCATTTGTGTTTTAGTATGGCTGGATGTCAACAATATATGTGGTAGTCTAAGTGTGTTTTTACGAGCCTAGCTTTACAAAAAGTTTACTGTATAAAAGAGAAAGTACACTAAAAATGCGGTTTTAAAATATGCAGGTTGTGGCAGGGTTAGTTGACAAACAGCTGATGAGTAAAGTCCACGTAGTCGTATGAGTCTAGCACAGCCCGGCCTGTTTTGTCCACATAAGGTTTCATACGAGATATGCAATAGTCTGCTTGTTCCTTGGTTAGATTCTGGTGAGACAAGAAATAAAATATGAAGTAATTTGCTAATGTAGAACCATTGTTGAATACATCTGCACAGTTCAACCAACGACTACACCAGCACAGTTCAACCTACGACTACACCAGCACAGGTCTACCTACAACCACACCTCTACACACTTCTACATACAACCACATCTACACAGTTCTACCTACAACCACACCTCTACACAGTTCTACCTAAAACCACACCTCTACACAGTTCTACCTACAACCACACCTCTACACAGTTCTACATACAACCACACCTCTACACAGTTCTACCTACAACAGCACCTCTACACAGTTCTACCTACAACTACACCTCTACACAGTTCTACCTACAATCACACCTCTACACAGTTCTACCTACAACCACACCTCTACACAGTTATACCTACAACCACACCTCTACACAGTTCTACCTACAACAGCACCTCTACACAGTTCTACCTACAACCACACCTCTACACAGTGCTACCTACAACCACACCTCTACACAGTTCAACCTACAACCACACCTCTACACAGTTCTACCTACAACCACACCTCTACACAGTTCTACCTACAACCACACCTCTACACAGTTCTACCTACAACCACACCTCTACACAGTTCTACCTACAACCACACCTCTACACAGTTCTACCTACAACCACACCTCTACACAGTTCAAATTACAACCACACCTCTACACAGTTCTACCTACAACCACACCTCTACACAGTTCAAATTACAACCACACCTCTACACAGTTCTATTTACAACCACACCTCTACACAGTTCAAATTACAACCACACCTCTACAGTTCTGCTTACAACCACACCTCTACACAGTTCTACCTACAATCACACCTCTACACAGTTCCACCTACACCCACACCTTCGCAACACAACCTACTACACCTTCAGGGTGTAAGCTACAAGTATGTAGGGTGGGTGGATGGCTGTGAAAAATGTGAGACTTACGGCATACAACTCCTGGGCTGTAATGTAGGGTTTCTCTCCAGATGTGAGAGCCCTGAAAGCCTGTTCCACCTCAGAGCTAGACTGGACGTTCTCAGTTTCCCGGCTGATCATAAATGCCATGTACTCTTGCAGGGACACAAAACCATCCCTGTGGAAAGGTTACAAAAAATTTGATTGAAACATGTATAGTCATGACCAACTGGGCAATACTAATTACAGAACTTCAATAATTATCTGATGGCATGGCTGAACTCATGCTATAGTCTCAAGCCTTTAAATACCTATAATTTGTCTAGAGACTAAAGCCATCAGGCCTCTATGGGGATCTGATGCTAGTAAGGAGCTGTAGGTGGGGAGGGGCTGCTTCTATGGGACAGAGAACCCATAGGATAAGGCCAGAGCACAACTCTTTTTAATAAGATGATTTGAGCAGAAAACTACTACATCTGCCTTAAGAGTAGTGTACTTAAATTTCTTTTAAAAAAAAAATTACTACAGTTTTTAAAATAATTTTTAAGAAGAAAGATTAAAAAAGATTAATATGGATAATCATAATCCACTGTAAGAGACTTCACCTGTTAGGATCTACGATGTCTAGAATAGCCTGGAACTCTGGGTCCACCTGTCCTTCCTCTACCATAGGTAAATCATAGCCCAGAGCTCTGAGACAGGACTTGAACTCCTGGTGGTCAAGTTTACCACTCTTGTCTTTGTCAAAGTGCCTGGAAAAACAAACATTCAATCTCTTAGTGGACGCTAACACATGATAAATTTTGATTAAACCCCATTGTGAAAAAGTACAAATTGAAAACAAAGAATATAATAAAGATATAGGTAAATATGGTGGGGAGTGCAGTGTGATAACACCATTGAGCTATGGTTGGATCTGTAGTGTGATGACATGTATGTGTCAAATTAAAAACAAAGAATATAATAAAGATATAGGTAAATATGGTGGGGAGTGCAGTGTGATAACACCATTGAGCTATGGTTGGATCTGTAGTGTGATGACATAGTATGTGTCAAATTAAAAACAAAGAATATAATAAAGATATAGGTAAATATGGTGGGGAGTGCAGTGTGATAACACCATTGAGCTATGGTTGGATCTGTAGTGTGATGACATAGTATGTGTCAAATTAAAAACAAAGAATATAATAAAGATATAGGTAAATATGGTGGGGAATGCATTGTGATAACACCATTTAGCTATGATTGGATTGTAGTGTGCTGACATCACATAGTATGCTTGTTTGAACACCCCTGTGTCCAACCCTGACCAACTTACTTGAACATCATGGAGAACTCTCTGAGGGCGTCCTCAGACACACCACTCCTGTTCCTGGCCTCTATCTGCTGCTCCAGGTTGTGCTGCATCCTCATACACAGCTGGTCTAGCTGATCCCACTGCTGGGCCAGACCAACAGTGCTGTGCTCTGTGTACCTATAAACATGCAATTGTTGTGGTTAGTACTCTTGCCTGGCATCCTTTCACACAGACTGATCCTATAAATATCCTGAATCAGACCCCCAAAGCATAGTGCACAGACACAACACTAAAAGAAGATTTTATTGACTCAATCCACCCTCCCCCATATGACACATTCCAGAGCCTACCACCACTCTTCTGTACGTAACAATATTAAACACAGCCCATTAAAAATACTCCATCATGGGTACTGTATTTAAAATAGAAAATGATTAATTCGAGGATTTAATAAAACAAAATTAAACAAATCAATCTGATGTTTAGTTGGTTATTTTGGGGTACTGATTTTACCTGTTATCAAGAATCAATCTCTCCTCCATTGCTGCCCCGAGGTCTTCTATCTTCTTCAGGTGACCTTTCTGTGACCTGACCTCTGCAGCCTTTCTCTGAATAATACAAACCATCCAGTTATAGACAGCTTATTAAAATAACATTTACATTATGTAAGAGCTAAATTGTTTGAAGGTTTAACAGTTGCTTTATTAAAAATTATTTACCCTGTTCTAGAATAATGTAATAGAAAGATTTATATAGTGGGAAAGCTTTTAGTGTTAAAATATATACTATTGAGAAGAGGAAGTGAATGTTTTGTAATTAAAATGCTGCTTATTTTAAAAAAATACTTCTTGAAACAAGTTTTAAGTTACCTTAGTGGCTTCTAATTGCTCCTCCAAGGATCCAGAGCCTTCCATCATTGCAGCTCTGAAACAAAAAACACTCTCTTTTAGAAATCTATCAAATAAAATTTTAATTAGCTTCATTATCTCTTATAATTTATAACACATTATGTGAAATGTTTTTAAAGTTATATACATTTTTTTAAATTTTAATCTAACAAAACAGCTTTACTTTAAATCTAAGTTTTTCACGTGTCACATGTCACATAACTTAACGTGTGTCATGCGAGTTAATGTCTGTTTTGGGCATTTGCAAAAACTGTTAGTCACTTCGCAAAATCAACAACAATTAATGGGTAATTAGAATATTAACAAAAGTTTTTTTTTTCTCCACTGTCCAAAAGTGGAAGCTGTCACAACTAATATGTGAGGGATATCTGTAGACTAGTCCATGCCTGCAGTAACAAATAAATCATCCATGCAGCTCTTTAACACCAAGTTGAAGTCATGACCAAAAAAATGTTCACACAGTACATTCCAAAACTGTAGTTCACAATCAAATGACAACTTGCATAAAAACATTCATGTTAAGGGATTTATCAATGTCTGTTTAATGTCAATTAAACACAAGGGTTTTAGAAAGCTAGATCTATGTTACTGGAGTGGAAACCTAGAAAAATGGGGGACAAGAATTATTAAAACAACCACACAATCAAAACATAACAAATGGATGCTCTAACCCATCAAGTAGCCACATCCTGGAAGAAAAATAGTTGACCATTATAACGTCATCAGAAAATGGACAATTAGTCATCAAATAGTGACAAAAATGTCATCAATGCTAAACTCAGAAAATAGGTAGCTTGTCTTACCTGGTCTGTGTGAGCCAGGAATGGAAGGCATTAGCAGCCTGAGCAAACTGTTTCCTCAGCTGGTCGTTCTCTTCCTGCCTGCGCTCTTCTTTATCCAGATCACTATCACGTTCCTGCATACACAAGTTAGTAGTTGCAATTGGTCATAAAATATAACGTACAACTCCAACGTTTAAAGTTTTATTATTTTAACTCTACACACATAAGCATGTACTTATATTTACAATTTAGAAAGTCCAGAGGAAACTTACTCTAATAATTTTCTGCAAGTTGTTCCATGTCTCCTCCAGAGCTTCCATGGTGAACCAGGTGTAGGGGTTGGGTCCAACTTTAAAGCTCTTGATCTGAGCATCCAAAGACTCCAGCCCCTTGAAGTCAGCTTTGGCAGCACTGAGGGAAGCTTTGAACTGTTCATGTGCCTCCCTCAAAGCCTGTGAAAGTACAGTTCATGTTTATTAGTGCTGCTATCTTTTAGTCACAGGCAGGAATCAAGCTTCATTGACATTAGTTTAAGAATCCAAATTGATTTTTAATTATATTTAGCCAACCAACTACCTTACAGCTTAAACAGCCATGTGACCTTAAACTTAACCAACCTACTGACCAACCCTGTAACCTACAGCAAAACCAAACCACTGACCTTAATTTCCTCAACACTGTTGCACCTAACAGGATCTGTCAGATCCTCCTCAGCATTCTCAAACCAGCTGTTGAAAGCTGAAGCCTTCTTGGCAAAGGTCAGGTACAGGTCCTCAATCTGCCTGTACTTGTCCTGGAGGTGGAGCAGCTTCTGCTTCCTGTCCTCCGCATCAGCCAGGAGCTTCTGCCAGCGAGACATGACTGCGTTGTAGCGCTCCTCGATGACCAGGGTCTGCTCGTGTCGACTGGCCACAAGTTGGTTCTTCAGGCTGGTGATAGTTTGGATGCCCTCCTTTTCAAAAGCAGCAAGTCCAGCAGAGAAGGTTTCCTAAAAACAGAACCATTACTTTAACAATTTTGTTTTGAACAAGCTTGGTTTTGTTTTTTGTTGAGAAATTTAAGAATATTAATTTGAATCTGTTTGGTAAGGTCAATTTTGAAATTAAATTGGGACAGACAATGTAGGAAGATAACTGTTTGGTATGGACAATTTTGAAAAAGAAATTTTGAAATGTAATTAATTTTCTCTAAGGAGGTATAATTTCAATAGCAAGTTAGGATTTTACCTGTTTTGTGAGGAAAGTTTGAACAGATGATAAGTCACGTCCATAATCTTCAGATCTTACTTGCGTTTCTTTGTCAGCTAGAATAAAATTATAAAAAAACAATGTTGAAGACCATAAGGTACATAGATTTGTATGGGGTGCTTGCTGAGTTACTGAGTGCAGTTCATCTGTGATGTAGGACTAGATTGTGATCCTCAAATGTATACATACTAAGAAAAAAACTAACGAGGTAATGTTGAGAAAACTTTTCAATATTAATGCAAAAAAAGTTTAAGATGATCATGTCAAAGGATTTTCCAAATGTGTATTCAAGACAAAATTGACCACATGTCAGTACTGACCGATCCAGCTGTCAACCACATCAGTCTTCCACATGAACTGCAGGAAGGCTGAATTGTCATTGAGAGCTGACTGTCTCTTGGCTGCTCCATGTTCCAGCTCCTTCAGTTTCTCTTCCAGGCCAGCCATCCTTTGACTGATGAGGTCAGCATTGTGGTTGCCCTGCAACATATGTTAAAACTCATTCTAATACATTGCTGACCATTTGGGAACAAAAAGTGTAAAACACAGCCCAAAAGAAGACGGGAAACACAGATTTGGGTGTGTCTTACCTCATTAATCAAGGTCTGTCCCTCTCTCTTTATTTCTGTGCATCTCTCTTTGTGGACTTGGAAATCAGACTCAAAAGCTTCATGTTTCTTCAACAGACCCTAAGAATATAGATGGAAGAATAGAAGACATCAATATTTGGTTTGCACCATTTTTCATATATAAATGTATCATATTATTGGAACAATAAAAAAGTTCACGGCCAACCCAAATTAGCAGCTAAAATTTAAACACCTACTGAACAATATGACATTTTTTTTACCTGTACTGCAGCCATGGTATCTCCTAGGTCACCTGTAGAAAGCAGGTGTTGCTTCTCTGTGATCCATGACTCTTCCTCCTCAACATTGGCACTGAACTGCTGGAAGGCATAGCTCTGCTCAAGTTTGTCACCCCTGTTATGAGAATCAAAATTTTATCATCTGGACAATCCTATTTGTATCAAGGCTCTTGTCAATTAGAGTAATACAAGTGAGCAATTGTTACTAGTAAAAACTTAAGAGGGTTTACTGAGAAAGAAAACAGACCTGTTGGCAGCCATTTCCTTCAGCTCAGCCCAGCTGGATGCCAGCTGATCCAGCCTGCTCTTGATGTCACTGACACCAATATCTGATTCATTCATCAGCTTCTCACCAGTTTCTTGCACAGCCTGTTGGAATAAATAATGCAGGGTTACAATAGAAATACACTACACTATTCAAGATCAAGATTAGTGAAAACATTACAAGTTGGTTTTTATGGAGTTGACTTGTATTGTGGTGCAAACTACTATAAAGCATTGATTGATCAGAAGATGAGCCAATCTTGAAAGGTACCTTTTACTTAAAGATAGGTTCTCCTAGGCTATTGGTTATCAATTTTTATAAGTATTTGCTATACAGAATCTACCAGCCTATTGGTAGAGAGAGAAGTAAATCTGACCAGTACACAGAAGTATGCCTAACCTATAAAGAGAAGTATGTCTAACCTGTATAGCTGGTTCATGATTCTCCAACTCTGCCTCCAGCCTTTTGTGTTTCTTCCTCAAGTTCTGCACACCTGTCAGATCTCTGCCATAATCCTCTGAACCAACAAGTAATTTCTTTTCTCTACATAAACAAAAGCATTTCACTACAGGTGTTCATGTAACAAAACACAAACAATAAAATAATAATAATATACAGTTGTTTTAAACTCCTGTAGTATAGTGAATTTTTAAAAACTTTTTCACAGGTATCAGTGTAAGAATATGACTGCGATAAGTATGGATTCTATATTCAAGTTGACTAACCAAAACCAAGATAACTTACTTGATCCAAGCTTCTTCATCATCAATATCTCTAAGGAACTGGTGCATAGTGTTAGCCTCATTCAGACGATTACGTCTATGAACTGCAAATTCCTTGATTCTGCAGAGACAATTGTAAATTATGTTTTTACTTTTTTAAAAATTGCAGATACTCAACAACAAAAATAATAAACTTTTCAATGAGAAACCACTGATTAGTTCCATTAGCAGGAACTGTGTCTAAATTTTATGTAAACTATGTAAATTTTAACATGACCTTACTTTTCATATCTCTCATTGATGGTCTGTTTTCTGGAGACAATACTTTCAGAGTCCCAAACACCAGCCTCAACAAACTGATCAGCTTGGCTGTTCAAATCTTTGATGCGATCCTACAGTAGTAAAATTGGCAATATTTAGAAAAACTAAGCTCAACTACAGGCATGTGAGACTAGATGTGTTACAGAGCTGACATAACTCACCTCATGAGCAGCTATATCAGCCTCCATTAGCTGATGCTTCTTGAGCAGGTTCTGGACAGAGGCAAGGTCTTTACCGTAGTCTTCTGATGCCAGCATCTGTTCCACCTGGCAATACAATGTACAAACTTTTTTTAAATTTTGGTCAACAGTGAAACATTTTTAAAGATTAAGTTAGATTTTTTAATCTATTGATTGACTGTATCTAGATATTTGGCTTGTACTGGTGATACTTAAACATTTAAGGTTAGTGAATGCTTTAGACTATTAGGTTTGGCATTGATACAAAAAGTAATAGTTATGTTTTAAAACTAACCTCTCCGAGCCAGAAGTCAATGTCTTTGACCCCAGCATTGTAGGTCTGTTGCCTGCTGGCTTCTTTCAGCTTGTCACTCTTCTCAGCTGACTTGGCCACCAGGTCCTCCCACTGGTTCAACAAACTCTCCAGGCGGTTCTGTACGGCATCTTCAGAGCCAGCACACTGACGCTGGTCAATCAGGTCTGCAGGTACAAGACAAACACAAATGATTAATAAGGTATGTAAAAATGGTTTACTGTAAACCACTAGCTTTTTACTTTGGGTCTTGTAAATTTTTCTGTTAATTTAATTGCTCCATTTTTAAGTTGGAAATATTTAAGTTGATCATTTATTTAAAATCTGTATAATGTTTTGGCAAAGAGAATTACTTTGGCCAGTAGTCAACAAGAACTGAAGTCTGTCAGCATTAGCAGCCAGCTCAGCCTCAAAAGCCTGGTGTTTCTGGTGCTTGCTCTGGATGTTTGTGGGATCTTTGTAAGATTCATCCAAGGCAATCTGGAGCTTCTCCTGTAGCCAGTTCTCCATCTCATCTGCATCACGGGAGAACTGCTGCAGTGTCTGAGCTTCACCTAGCTTGGAGCGGTTCTCAATCAAAGCATCCTTCAGCTTGGACCATCTGTGGAGACATAAGAGAAGCTCTTGTACACAGAAACAAATAAACACGTTTGGCTGGACTGCATTGAGGTTATACTACTATAAGGCAGCTACCTACTGATACACCATCACTTAATGAAGTGAAAGCTGGTTAGTAACATAAATGGAAAAGCTGCCAAAACAAATGCCATATATTTTCCCAGTATGTGTGAAACCTAAAGACATACCTATCAAGCACCTGGTCTCTCTTGTCTGACACGGCTGGACCATCATAATGATTAGATGTGATCAGTTGATCAGCAAAATTTTGAAGGGAATTGATTTTCTCTTCCTGTGTTTAATAAAAAATGGATTTTATTAATTTTTTTCTCTCTTCTGGATTATTTCATTAATGAAAACAGAATCTAAATTTCAACAAAAGGTAAAACTATTTATGCTAAGTTACCTGGGAGTTGATAGCCCTATCAAAATCTTCATGTTTCTTGATCAGAGTCTCCACATTGTCCCCATCCACTGAGTCGCCAGCCAGGAAAGCTTCACGGGAAGCCATCCATGACTCAGCCTGTTCACAGTCACGATAGAAAAGCTGGAGCTCCAGGCACTGGTCAAGCTTCATACGCCGGGCAATCCAGGCCCTACAGAGAGGCAAACAATGTTACCCAATGAAAAAGCTTGATACCACCAGAAATAAATGGCTATAATACAAGAAAATAATCAGATAACAGATGAAACAAAATAATGTTTTCAGTAAACCAGTTCAAGTAAATGAATGACACAAGAAAATACTGTGATGACAGCATGAGTGTACTGACTGTTCTAGCTCCTCCCTAGATCTTGCCAGCTCCTCCAACTTCTGTTGTACATCATCACTGGCATAGTGCTGATTCTGCAGCAGCTGTTGCCCCAATAACTCAAAGGCCTGGAATGTTCCAGCACGAGCATCCATCTCTGTTCTGTGTTCCTGTAAGCAAACAAAGTGGGGCCCAGTCAACCTACAATTTACTTTTTTCAAGATATCAACTTTATTGGTTTTGTCATGTCTTTTTTTTTATGTTAATCATATTTATACACTGAATTACTTACAAGGTCTTAGAAAAAAATTAGTTAATTACAAAACTTATAAAATTGTAAATAGTTCACTTTATCACTAAATAAGTGAGAGAAGGAAGGGGGAGGGGGACAGGGAATGGGGCGCTGAAATTTCATGCTTTCTAGAAAAAAATAATTGTAATTTAGAAACCACATGCTAGAAAAATAAAACAAAAGCTTAAACAACGTAATGGAGGTTAGCACGCACACACACATTATAAATATCAAAGATTATTTAAACACTGATGTTGAAAATGTTTGGACAAAAATGAACTACATGGATGACTATCAGGGTTTGTAACTTAAGACAGAAATCACTGTTCTACGTAGGTAAATTCACACACTATGCAAGCAGACTATCCTAAACTAGTTGTTTTTATTTAGCATGCATGCTCCTCGTTGGAAGTTTTCCCAGTCTGAACTCTACCCCACCCCTATAGCTTTACTATGTTCTTGTCATGCAGATTTTAAGCTAAGGATATAAATAGCATTAGTTCAACTATCTATCTATGACAATAACTCGATGGAAACATTCCAGCAAATCAGTATTGATTAGTTTTTCTTAGGTTTTGTTCATTCCTTTACGGCAGGCATTTATTTCTACCTCTTCTAAATATTCATCTTCTTCTTCCCCGGGCAGAGCCGTAATACCATAGTGGCTCACAATTTCTGAACTGAACATCTGAATGGAATCATATGAAAATATTACAAGACTATCAACATAAGCACACAGTCAAACAGCTTTCATCAAATTAAACTTCTATTTTCTAGCTTATTCAGCTGTGTTCACAATGTAATAAACAACTGATCTTCATCTGCTGAACTTTTTTCTACAACATTTAGAAGCTCCAGTGCAGCTTTGTATATACAAAAAAAAAACAACAACAACAAAGCTAATAACGATAGACAAAAAAAACTAGACAAGGTTTGTTTTTTAGGTGATCACACAACTAAAAATGTACCTGATGCCTCTCTAGCAAGGCTTCAGCACCTGTAACATCTCTAGCCAGTTCATCAGATGATACAAGGGCCATCATGCTGTTGATCCAACTTGTAAGGTCTCTGAATGGAAAAAAAAAAAAACTCCACTATAGTACAATTATTATAGTACAACAGACGTTCCTATTGAATACAATTTTAAAATAAAGTATTAATTATCCTAAAATTTTTGACAATAAAGACAATAAATTTAGAAAAGCTACACTACCTGTAATCACTCAAAAATCTCTGTAAATCATAGGCATCCAAAAGCTTGACTTTACGAGCATCAGCCTGGTGTAGGAAGAAGATTTACAAATGTTTAGAGATAACTTTTTCAGGTTTGAACAAATAAAAGTAGGTAAGCTTTTTAACTACTTTATTAAACTTGAACTAATCCCTGGTTGTGAAAATAGAAAAAGGTAAACATAAAAAGACCAACCTTGATAGTGAGTGCATTCCACATCTCATTGATTTCAGTCTGATGTTCATAGATGTTCTCTGCTTGGTCTGGATGTGTTTGCATCAACCTTTGAGCCATTTCGTCAAGCTCACGAACCTAGGCACAAATGATCTTCAGTGAGGAACTTTTCTTTACTTACATTATTTTTGGAGATTTTAATCAGTGTTGTTTACAAAACAAAATACCTTCTCCCCGAGTGCAGCCAAGTCTCTTTCAAGACCCTCATGCTTGCGCTGTAGGGCCTGAACGCTGGCAAGGTCATGGCCATAATTGTCATTATTGAGAGCTGTGTCTTTCTCTTTGATCCAATCTTTAGCTTCATCAACTTCACTGTAAACAAGAAGTAAAATATATCATAAAATAAGTGGGTAGACAAAAAGAAGTTATGAATTGTTGGAAACTTTGAAACACTGGAATTTCACAAAAGGTAATTTAGTCCTCATTTTTTTTACAGATAGTAAGTGCTTAAGGACGAATATAAAATATTTACCGATGGTAACGTTGAACTTCAAATGAACTGCTCAAAGTCTGTGCCCTCTCTGCTGTAACTTGTTGCAGTGTCACCCACCTCTGGTTGAGTTGCTGTAGAAAAAAATTAAGACAAACACTTTAACTCAGAATTAATTAAGTGGTAGTAAAATTTCATAAGCTGACACACAGGATGAGAATGTTAAACTTGCTGGTGACTTACAATGATCTGTTCTCTGATCTTCTCTGCAGCTTCAGTGTGTCCCATGGCTGTCAAACGATCAGCAATGTTGTTCAGCTCTTGTAGTCTGGCCTCATTGGCTTTCAAATCCTGAAAAACAATCAATGCATTAAAAACTCTTCAGCTGCAATGCATGTTAAAATAATCTACAGTACATCTCTTAATAAGGTTTATCAAGTAGAGAATGGCTTAACCAACAATGTAAGTAATGATAATTCCAATTAAAGAGGGTAATTTAAGCCCAAATTTTTATATAGCTGTGATAGAAAATGTAAGACTGACCTTCTGGAAGTCATCGAACTTCTTCTGCATCTCCTCCACCTGCTCAAGGTCATCTCCCACTTCTTCACCTGCCATGGAGTTTTCTTTCTCCGTGATCCAAGCTGCCAGCTCTGCTGCCTCTCTGACCAGCTGGTAGGCTTTGTTGGATTCCTGGACATTCTCACGCCGTTGGTTGGCCAAATCCAACAGGTTAGCATACCTGTAGAAAAAAACCAAGTGAAGATTTAGAAATCTTAAGCATCAATGCACTGTATAGCAGCAGTCAGATTAGTATATATTAAAGTTTTTAAAATATTTATGAAGAAATACAGAGGATCAGGGAAAATAGATAAATAAAGCCAATTTAAATGGCTACAGATATATTTAATCAAGTAGCATTTACTTATATTTTCCTACTCAAAACAATAAAATTGACATCTCTGCTTAGACCAGTGAGTCACTCAAATACTTATAAAAGATGCAGCTATGATAATCTACATGTATACAATGACATAAACAAAAAAAAAAAACTTACTGTGTTTCAATTTGGTTCTGTCTGACTGAAATGGTGAATTCATCCATCAGGTTGTTGCGGGATGCTGACAAGCTGGGGTCCAACTTCTTCACATAGGCAGCAGGAACAAATCCTTGCCTGTCATTCACCTCAACTTTCCACCAGTCCTGAAAAAAAAACATTTACAGGAAATTCAAAAACAGGCCCACACATTTTTTTTGGTAACATTCATCATGCCTTTCATTCATTCACCTTTTCTTATTCTTGACTAAAAAAAAAAATTATTTTTAGTATCTAGTTCCAGATACATGTCTTAAGTGATGTGACTAAAACAGTGTCTACATGCTATAGAAAACATCCATACCTTGTTGGCGGAGTTGAGAAGTGTCAGCACATCCCCTTTCTTCATGGACACCTCACGCGGTGACTTCTCAGTGTAGTCATACAAGGCCACAACTTTCTCTGTACCAATGTCATCAATAATTGGGGCCTCTTGTTGCTGAAAATGGTGGAAATAATCAGTTATTGCTAGGCAACCAAAAAAAAAACAGGGTGCAACAGAGATCTGAAGGACTGAGAAATATACTGTACAAGCGTCAGTTTGTTCTCTCAAAGACAAGAACATAGTTTAACTTTCAGACCAGATGGTCCAGGGTGCAAATAAAGAAGAGTTCATCTCTTCCTCTGACCCCAGCACCTTAAGCAATAGGGTGGTCAACACTATGCCCAGCCACTTTACTTTACAAGACTTTATTCTGGTATCTTTAGATCTTGAGACTTTGAGACTTTCAGATTGGCAATTATGCTCTACAACTTAACCACATCCCATATAGAGTGTAAGTACAAAGAGGCACATACCTTACAAGCTTGAGCTTGCTCCCTAAGACCTTCAATGACACTACGGTAAGCTTCCAAATCAGCCATGAAAGCTTCATGTTTTTTCAACAAAGCCTAGTCAAGGAGAATAAAATATGAACACCATTATTGAAAGCAAAAGAGAAAGAAAACATTGAACTAAAATATTTATAAGTTAGTAATGAGTGTAAGACAAGAGATGAATATAAAAAAAAACCATCAGTTACCTCAGCTGAATCCTCATCTTTACCATAATCTGTGTTGGCTGCGATTGGCTCCTTCTCTCTCATCCACGACTCTGCCTCATTGGCATCAGCAAAGTACTGCTGTGCTTGCAGAGAATCTTCCAGGTCCTGTTTACGTTGGTGGGCTTTTTCCTGAAGTTATAAAACAGTGGTGTCAAACCTCAAATGTTTTATTTCCAGTACAGATGGAAGGTTATTAAATTATTAACGAATTTCATGTTTGGTTGGAATTTAGAGGAAAAGTAAAATATCTTGCTAATTTTTAAATGTGCAAAAAAAAAAGTCTATACCTTCAATGCATGCCACTTCTCCTTTAAATCAGCAATCTTTGTTTTGATGGTATCAGTGGCAAAATGTCCCTCCTTGATCATGTCAGTGCCAGTTTGACATACATTGTTAATGCGTGGCTCATGTCCAGCTACCTCTGCTTGAAGAGCCTGGTGCTTCTTCATCAAGTTCTGAACACCAATCAAGTCACGGCCTAAATTGAGAATATCAATAATATTTTGTTACATTTTTTCCAGAAAACTTGACATTTTGAACAAATAGTTTCCAATTCAAACTTGAAAAAATTATGCAACATTAAAATATTTACAAATTAAGGCTTAGTTTGATACTATATTAAAAATCAAAACAAGTATTAATTTTTTAACCTCTATTAGTAGATGAAGCAATAGGTTCCTTCTCTCTGATCCAATCCTCTTCATCCTCAACATCCCTCAGGAACTGTTGTAGGGTCAAAGCTTCATTCAGTTTCTGTTTGCGCTGCACAATGGGTGCCTAGAAAATTAACAAAGTCAGGTTATTAGTTATCGTAGCAAATATTATGTTTTCAAAAAAATAAAAATAGAAAACCTTCGGGTTCACATCAACCAAGCCAGAGAGGGTAAACCTACTTACATTTAGTTTCTGGTAGCGTGTAACAACCTCCACCTGCTTGGATCTAATGTTTTCCTTGTCAAAATGATCCCCATTCAGAAACAAAGTAGCCTGGGACTGCAGTTGATCAAGACGGTCCTACGCAACAAAGCAGAGGGCACAGTAAATCTTATTGTACATGACATTTAGCTTTAAACAAAACATAACTTGTAGCTTTATTTAAACAAATAGATCAAATTAAAACAATTTGATTTAACATACCTGGTGTGATAAAACATCTGATTCTAAAAGAGCATGCCTCTTCTGAAGATTCTGGACATTGGTCAAATCCTGAAAGGTAGGGTAGAAAATATTTAATCTTTACAGTTCTTTTTAGAATATTTAACTCTTGACTAAAACAAACAGGGGCTGCATGGTAAATGCATGTCTAAAATATTGTTAAGCAGGGAGTGGTTACATGAACTGGTCAGACTTTAAATAAGTTTTTAGTAGCAAATAAAGATGTGTTCAAACATTTTACTCTTTTATCTCAAACTAATAGTTATATTTGATCACATTAAGTATTCAACTTCATGTAATAAGCTACATATTTTAAGTATCTAGCCAACCAAGAGACAACATGCACACAAACTAAGAGTTATAATATGTGCTCATCCAAAACCTTTGTTAATTGGCTAAAACTAAATATACATCCTACTGTTTCCTGAGTCCCTTGAAGCAAGTTCTGCTAAGTGTTTATACAGATTATACATAGCTACATTCAATCAGTACACATTAAGTAGCCAATTTTAGAGGGTCAAAGATTAACTACCCCATGCTTGTAAGAAGGTACCAGTATGGTAGGGGACTGTTATTTTTTTTTAACATAAAATGTCTAAAACTAAATTATTGACCTATTTATACAGAATAAAACAGTAGTGTAATCTTTTCAAATTGTAGTTTTTAAAAAAATGAGTAGACACACATTTTCACTATGTTGGATAAATGTATTCAAAGTCACTCAATTAGAGTAAAATATGGCCAAAAGATTAACCAAGCTAAGTGAAAAACTTTAATTAAAAACTTCAATCATGTATTAAAAGGCAAAACTCTTTCATAGATTATGAGAAAGCTGATTTATATCAAAATAAAAGCAAAATTTAAAAAAAAAAAAACATAAATGTCATTGAAAATTAAAACTTTTCTTGGTTTAATAAAGCAAATAAAGCAGAAAAAAGAAATGCCCTGGTTGCTCTTGGGCTACACAAAGTTTGTTGGGAGCAAATTATCATTGAGTAAAGAAAAGGGCCTAGTCAAGTACCTATTATAAACAGAACAACTTAGACCTTCATTTGTAAGACTGGCAGTCTCTTCTGTATAATAACTAGCAGCACTGGTTAAACTAATCATGCGACAATCTTCACTACCTCCACTCAATTTTACATTATACTTATGACTTCTACCCAACAAATACTGACTGTATGATAGTATTGGATACTTTGTCACATGAGATCCATTTTATTCTAGTCAGCTGCTATTATGTCTTTGAACAGGTTTTTGAAAGGTAAAAGTACTATCAGTTCTACAAACCTAATCAAATTAACAATTAATTATAGGAACAGTAATGAGACCTTGTTAACTGGCATGCACGTTTCTGTGACATTCACTTGCTGCTGTATTAAATTTCATTATCAGCTGTGTGCTGAGTTTATAATTTCAAATACTAATTTTTGCCTCTATCCACTAAGGTACAGGTAATAAAGTTGTGCAATGATAAAAATGGTGTGCTGTCCTACTAACACTAGTAGTAAACTGTGCAAGCTAGGACATGGGAGCAATGACAATACTCAAAAGGAACTCATGCACTTCATTCATCTCATAATTGAGGAAATATTTGATTATACAAAAATGTGCCTAATGGTAATTTTTTTTCCCCATAGTGTCCATCTTTTCAATAGAGCTCAGATTTTGGTGGGTTGTTTTTTTTTGGTGGTTTAGAAAAATGGTAGCATAAAGATATCTATCAACATCTAGCTATATGACTGTATTCTATCGTAAATCAAATTCACAATTGGAATCACACAAAATATTTCAATATACGTCAGTTTTATTTTATTTTTTTAAATTATTTTGTAAAATAAAATACTTTTGTATACGGAGTAGCCTATGTCCAACTATACATCAGTTTTCATACTCTTATTCAAATAAGACAAACTGTAATGTTGTATTATACTTCATCTAGTCCCCCACTTTATTTAAATAAGAGAAACTCTTATGTCCCATTATATTTCATTGAGCCTTTACACTTGTACTTAAATAAGAGAATCAGTGCCAAAAACTAATGACAGATATGAACAACATGATAAATGCAAGCTAATTTTCTGATGACTCAAACCTCTAGACACATAGAAGGCTGCTGCTGCTGCCAGGTAGGAAAGCAAAGGCAAATATATAGGTCAATAAACATGTCCAGCAGGTGGACAAATAAATAGTCCCAGTTACATGAGTATAAATAAAGCCTAAGTTAGTTGACTAAAGAGCTAGTGTGAGTGACAGAGGGATGAACCAGCCGGGCCCTCATCTCTGTCAGACACACCTATGTGGCCAGAAGCTGGGCTAAAGTTTGAACTTACACTTCGTTGTAGAAGCTAGTATATCATAAAGGAAAGGGGAAGACAAGTTGTGGGTGAGAAAGGGGGAAAAAAATTAAAATTAAATTAAATGATGAAATGGGGTTCAATGAATACAAATTTATACTAAAATACTTCATAAGGTGGGATTAAAAATGAAAATAAATGAGGTTCAACATTTTAATTAATCTTTAAAATAGGTTTTAAGTTTTAAAAAAGTATGTTTGTTTTCTCCACTGATATTACCTCCAGGTATGGTATAAAGAGTTCTAGATCTAACATGAGTAGCTGCTACTAGCAGATTTTTACTTTACAAATCACAAGCAATGTCTGGCTGATTTATTAAACATTTGGTTATTTAAATTAATTTTATTGATTAACATAGTTCATCAAGCATTAGGAGAACCTAGAGCTGTGAAGCTAATCTTCTTATAAATCATCAAAAAACGATACTAATACATAATTAAATTAAAAATGAGAGATCGGTCAGCTTTAGGCAGAATTTTTGCCAATGGACTAAAGCAGTCTATAAGTGAAGTGATGTGTAAACAAATAAACTTAACACAAAGACTAAACAACCACAAACAAGACAAAAGGGAAAATAAAAATTTGAATGGAGTTGATGAGATATGGGAGGGTGGTTAGGTTTCAGCAGTAATAAAGCCTAGCCTGAAACTTACTTTGCCATAATCCTCAGAGATGAGAGAGCTCTCAATATCAGCCAGCCAGGATTCAACATCCTCAACATTACGGTTGAACTGCTGTTGGTGAGCTGCCTCATTCAACTTGTTACCTGAGGGGAAAATACACAACAATGTTTCTCATGTTGCTCAAACACTGTCACCAAACTTGCAAATTTTTAAAAACCCATAAGGGTCGGCGTGGTCGAGTCGGTAAAGCTCATGGTTGCTAAACCGAAAAGTCTCGAGTTCGAACCCTCGGGCAGATGAGGCTTGTTAGCTGGGGACAGCCACTCTTCTATGAGAGACAACTCCAAAATTAAACAACTGCTGCCTTGTAGTTTGTTCTTGGTTGGACAAAGGCTATGGAAGCAAATCCAAAAAGAAAAGCAGGCTGAAATCGGAGTCAATGGCCTCAATGGCGCAAAACCAGTTGACACGTAACGCTTAATTGTGTTGGAGGCGTGGTCGAGTCAGCAAAAAGCTCATGGTTGATAAATTTGAAAAAAGTATCGAGTTCAAACCCACTGGCAGATAAATCTCGATCCCCTTCAACACTAATAATTAAGAACGAAGAAGAAGAAAGAAACCCATACAAATGTCATAAAAAAATAATTAACCATTTCTACAGCACAAACTTCTAGCTCATTGTTTCAATGTGATATTAATTCTAAGTTAAAGTAGGTTACTCTTTTTGGTTTAATGGTCAAGAGGGCGGGATAAAGTGGACAGAATTCATTTCTGTGGTCATTGAAGAGTGTTCAATTGCAATGTCCAAACATATCTTAACCATCCCTGATTTACATCAGGTACCCATCAGGGATTGAAATACAAGCTCAAAGCTTATGGGGCTAGCACTAATTACCTTTCTTTTCAGTTTGGGCCTGCAATGTAGTCCACAGACGTTCTATTTCATCCACTCGTTCCCTGCAATACACATCAAGGTGGTAATTGAATATTAATAAATAGTAAAACAATTTGCTAACATATACATAAAACAAATCAACATTTTAAGGAAATAATTTTTAAAATTCTTTTTTTAACTTAACTGAACAGTAAAATAATATAACATCTTGATATTTCATATCAGAACTAAGAAATGTAAAACAAAATTAATCTTACTGGATAGGGCCTTTGGCATAGTGGTCATTTTCAATCAGCTGCTCCCCCCTGGCTTGTATGCTCTCAATACGATTCTTGTTGGCATCAATTTCAGCTTCAAAGTTTTGATGCTTCTGGAGCTTTGTTTGCAAATTGGTTGGATCCTGAAAAGCAGTTCATACAAAATCAATAACTGTAAACATGATTCAAGGACACCATACTAATTTAAATTTTTTAGCTTACAAAATAAACCTGTTATTCATCAGGTGTACATAAGTAAGGCATAATTAAGGATAATTGTTGACTTTGATTATAATGTATCCAAAAGCTCTTACCAAATAATTTTCATCTGATGCTGTCTTTAGCTTCTCGTTGATCCACCCCTTGGTTTCATCACAATCCCTTTCAAAGATCTGAAACTCATTGGACTGCTCAAGCATGTAACGGCGTGCACTTGACTTTTCATACAGAGCATTGCGTCTTGCGAGGAGCTACACAGAAAAATGAATAGCACAAGTTAGTTAAATAGCTTCACTGATACTACTGTCAAGTCATATGTAATGATTTAAGATTTTGAAACAAAATGAACAAAGGCAGGATTGAAGCATAAAATTGGATTAAAAAATAAACGTATAGTAAACCTTACCTGGTCTCGTCTAGCTGCTACATCTTCTGAAGCGTAGTGCTCACTATCAATCAGCTTGCTGGCAAACTCATCCAAAGCCTTTAGAGAAATTTTGATTTATACATATTGAGATTGGTGAAAGTTATAAAACACTAAATGAGAAAAATGTTTAAAACTAATGCAACTGGACACCTCAATATTATTATTTTTGTTCTTGAAATGTATGGTAGAATTTCCACAAGTTAAGTTTCTAGTATATTTGCAGATGCAATTTAAAATTCAGGTCTTGTGATAAACAGTTACTTGTACGTTTTTAAAAAATGCCTGTGGTGCAAATTTTGTTCAAGTTGGAAAAATATGATTTAATAAATAAAATAAAGCTCCCACCTTAATTTTCTCTTCTTGTGCAGCCAATGATTTTTCAAAATCTCCATGCTTCTTCAGCAGTGCCTCAACACTGTCCAAGGAATCCCCCAGGTCATCATTCACCAAGAAAGCCTCCTGTTTGGTCATCCATGTGTCAGCCTGCTCTGTGTCACGCAGGAACAGCTGCAAGTCCATGCACTGCTCGTACAAAACCCTCCTTTCCTCCCACAGTTCCAAAAGAGTGTGCTTCTCATAGTTCAAGACTTGTAGCTGAAGTCACAAAATTATTTTTTGATAAATGTTTAACATGAAAAAAAATCTTATTAAAATATAAACAATAGGTCAATAAAGAATTGTTCTGAGGTGATTTTTCTCTGCTGGTATTGCAGAATAGAAGTTAGGGTGACCATACTAGCATTGATAGCTTGATGTTATTTAAATAGATATGTAACTGTTAATACTGACAACACTGTAGTTAAAAAAAAATCAGTAACTAATACCTTTTCTTTCACTTCCTCAGAGGCAAAGTGATGTGACTCCACCAATCTAGTACCAGCTTGTGTGGTTGATTGGAAACTGTCTTCTCTGGCATCAATTTCACCCTGTAATTTTTATTCAAAATTATTTATCTAGCATGTTTTAACCAGAGGATATTTGACATAAAACACCCCAAGTTAACAAAACTTCTTACTTTGTGCTCATTGTGTCTGTCCAGGAGAGCCTCAGCACCAGCCACATCCTTGGCCAGCTCATCAGCTGAGATGATGGCCTTCATGTCTGTGATCCAAGACACAAGATCACGGAAATCTGAGAGAAATCTCTGAAGGTAGTAGGCATCATCTAGTCTTGTCTTTCTTTCTGTTGCCTAAATACAATATGCGAAAATGCTATTGTTCTGGAAATGTCCTATTAGATATCTGTTATAATCAAATTAAAATGTATAAGACTTGTTTATGAATATCTAAAAAAAAAAAAAAAAAAAAAAAAAAAAAAAATTAATATTAATTACCTTAGTTTTGAGTTTCTCCCAGTTTTCATTTATCTCTCTTCTCTTATCCCGGATTTGTCCAGATTGATCTACATGGGTCTCCTGCAGGCGATCAGCCTCGCTAGTCAGGGCCAAAACCTGGTAAATGGAGTTTTCATTTAATTTCATTGCCAATTTGAATACAATGTTAAAATCTAGATTAATTTAACCAACCAAGCACTTGATTGGAGTACTAATCATATAAGATATGAAAAAAAATAACCTTTTCTTCAAGTGCAGCCAAGTCCCTCTCAACACCTTCATGTTTCCTTTGTAAGGCTTGGACACTGGCAAGATCTCTGCCATAATCATCAGTTGACAGGATAGCATCTTTTTCTTGGATCCATGAGATTGTCTCATCAGCATCTCTGTACAGAGAAAAATCAGTCATTTGAAAATGTTTACCTCGCTAAATGAATTCTTATGATACTAACAAAATATAAGAAAAGCAGTATAAAGATATACTCTACAGAGAAAAAAGCCATTTACCTATTAAATCTCTGGATTTCATGAGCTCCAAATAACTTCTCCTGCCTTATCAGAGAGAGCTGGCGCAGTCTTTGCCAAGCCTCATTTACTTCCTTGAATTAAAAAAAAAATTATGTTAATATGATGATTTGAATTTTTCTTTAAACAGACAATAATTAACAAGTTCCAAGAGCAGTAAAGAATTACCTGTTGCTTAATTCTGATAGTCTCCTCCTCAGGGTGACCATCAGCTACAAGTTGTTCAGCCAAATTGTTCACTTCAGCAACTTTGTCTTCGTGGTTTTGTAGATCCTGGACAAGACATATAATAACACATTGTATAACATTACATCATGTTTGATATTTGAAATTAAAATCAACATTTTAAAAATGTACAATACTTTAAATCAAATGATTACCTTCTGAAACTCATCAAATTTCTTCTGGAGAACTTCAACATGCTCCAAATCTGTCCCAAACTCATCAGATGTTACAAACGCATCCTGCACAAAAGATAAATAATGAAAAAATGCTTTAAAATATTACCTAGTAAAACACTATTCTTTACCATCAATGAATTTTTTTTTATATTTCAGAAAAGGTGTTAAAAATATTTAATCAAATTTAATTTCACAAGTAATAATGTAAGTTAAACATTATAAGTTGAATTTTGAAATAGGATTTTACAAAGCACATTAAAAGCTACAATTACATTTTACTGCTATAATGTGATCCAAATTTGTCATAAATGCAGGGCTGCGTACCCCAAAATTTTTTTCCCCGTAACAAGAGCATAGGTTTTCCGTAACTTTCCGTATTTTTACACATTTTTTAAATACAATGTAAATAAGACCCATATTATACGATCGTAAAGCTCATCAGCGTAATGATGACAGTCTGCGACTCGTGCTACTTTTTATTTTATGGACTAATAATTAGTTTTTTAAAAAAACACCGTTAAATTCAGAATGTAAGGCGACAATGGAAAATTTCAAATAGGAATTGTTCTTGCAATGAGTAGTATGACGTATGATATAGGCCAACACTACGGATATCTAAACCAATGTGAACTCAGTGACCCCTCGACTGTGTGTGTGTCAGGATTTTTCTCCCGCGAACAAGAAAACGTAAGCAGCCGACGGGTGACGATGTTTTGAATTAGCATATTTCTTGAATATTTTTTTTAAAACTACATTTTATCAATGTAATATCTAGAAGAAAAGAGCAATTTTAAAAATATGATCCGTAATTGATCTAGGTGAGCCTAGATCTCGTTGTTTAGTAATATCTTGTCTTCTCGCACATCTCAAACGAAATGCCTCGATATCTCGCTATTTAGGCATTTAGCCGTAATACCGCCTCAGCAAATATGTCTCGCCAGAATGCACGACCAGACTTTCAATGATTTAGGCCACGCCCTTTTTTTCTCTCCGGACAACACCGGCTCATGAGGTAGGCCTAACACAGAACACTCGCGGGGTCAATAGTTCACAATATAAACATGACTGCCGCCAGCCATGACAAGAGTGGGAAGGGGGAGGGGGGTTGTTACGGAAGAGGCTGAGAACCTTAGAACCGGATAACACGCTGAAATACTGAAATATAACTAGCTAAATTAAAATATAAAACTCAGACCGGGAACATAAAGTTAAGTTACCACCAGAAATTTTTTTTTTTTACACTAAAGTCGATTTTGATCTCTACTGAAATCAAAACCGTAATTTTGCAGCATAATCGTAATTCCGTAACCTGGGTGTCCAAATTGTAAAGTTACGGGCAAAACCGTACAAGTAGGCAGCCCTGTAAATGATGATTCTGGGAGTAGACTTTACAATACCTTGTCATTGATCCAAAACATAACTTCACGACATTCCCTCATGAACTGTACAAGCTTGAGAGCCTGTTGGAGTTTTGTACCTTTGTCTGCCAAGCGAGCAAGGAGCAAAGCCCACAAGCGATGGAGTTCATCCAGACGGTCCTAAAAGAAAAACATTCTCAGTAAAATGTATAGAAAAATGGTGGCAAATATCAAGTTATTGACTACACTTAACTTAGTACCATTTCAGTCAAAGTTCTATTTAGTACAACAACTGGTAATCAACTTACCTGGATAATTTCAGAAGCAAAGTGACCCTGGTTGATCATCTCATATCCAATGTCATCAAGGGACTGGATAGCATTAGCATGAGCTGAGACCTCAGCTTCAAAAGCTTGGTGTTTTTGTATCTTGGCCTACAAGAACATTTCATTTATTAACAATTGCAATATTTAACAGTAGGCAGATATTTTAGAGGGAGGAGGGGTTTCCTGTAAGTTTGCTGAATGTACTAAAGGAATGTTCCCCTAAAGTTTATGGGTTCAAATGATGGGCGTTACCTGTAAATTTGTTGGATCTCTGTAGCTCTCATCTGAGGCTGTCTGCAGCTTCTCATTGATCCAGGACTCCAGTTCATCAGCATCTCTTTTGAAGTACTGGTATCTTCTGGAATCTTCCAGATTGTGTTTGCGGTCCCTGCAGGCAGCTTTGAAGGCTGCATAACGACCTAAGACTTCATCTCTCCTCGCTTGAATGTCCTCTGCTGTTTCAAGGACTTTGATCTCCCGAGCCGTTGTATCGGCCGGTGTTGTCATGATTTAGCTTCTCTTGTTATTGTTCACTATTAAAATAAAAACAGTGAAAGCACTTCATCAATTAATATGTCTAAGCAGAGAAGCCATTATTTCTAACAAATGCTAATTTTTATAATTTTAAAGTATATAGTCTACTGCTTGTATGCACAAGATAACCTTCAATTCTTTTCTACAAGGAAAAAATTTGAGTCATAACTGTTTCGTAAAACTAATAAAACCAAATTTTCTTTAGTATCACAAAGCAGTAAAAATTGTGTGTATTTGGTTTATGCTTAAAAATTATTTTTATGAAAAATAAATAAGACTCCTGGCAAATAATAGGCACAACAGTACACTGTTCTTGAGACTTGTACAATCAATAAAACACAAAAAAGGCAACAACGAAACATGTCTCAAATTCAAATATATGTATAGTGTTTAAAGTGATTGTATAAATTACAAGTGAAAATGAATTTCTGCATGAGTAAATGCACTGATGAAAAGTGAATACACAAATACAAATTTTTATGTACCTCGATTGTGAACTTGAGTCAAAATATAGACAATGGCACAAAAGAGTGCATATAACAAAATGTAGGTAAAACACAACGTTAGGAAGGCAATCAAGAAAAGGTCAGGGTGGTCTTCAAGAAATGGACACTTGAACATAGGGACAAGACTCAGTTGTTGGTAATAAAAGAAAAGGTAATTTTATAATAGAAGAGGCTGAGCATGCAAACAGCCACAGCAGCAAAAAAGCTGTTCCAGACTTACACTGGAATGAATCAAAACATTAAACTGAACAAAGAATGTAACAATTTAAGAACAGCTCACTGCAAATTGCTGGTGTGTGACTCATACTGATCAATACTCAAGCAAGTATACAGGTATGACACACCAACCAAGCTGTGTCGAGTGAGATTGATTTTTTCTTCTCTCCTCTTGTCATTGTACAAAATCAATAATGATTACTAGAACAGCCATGTTTAAAAAATATACAAAATATCCAGAAGATGAATAACTATTGACTCATGCAACATCCACGGTGAACACGCACAAAAGTGTAAAAATTCCACTTATTTAAGAATATCATTCGCAAAGAGAAAGATGTATTCCATTCAAACAAGAGATAACAGGAAGAGTAGCAGTAAATGACATTCCTTCAGCTCTTTCCAAATAACAACTCGAGCTCTTGTGCCTGTGTACTTTGTGAATGTCAGATAACATCAATACTAGGAAAGACACACTGTTCCAGACTGATATTGATTTTCTTTATCACCATGGCAACTCATGTCCCAGCAGACCAACTGCTGCACAATATTACAACAATTTTTGGCACAGACAGTATAAAGATTATGATATTGAAAAGAACAAATGTAGCATTAAATGATAAAATGTAAATGCATAACAGTGGTTCTCAAGATGCAAAAATAGTAATATTGCATTCTTCATAAATTTAATAGAAAATTCAAGTTGTTTACAATTATTTTGTTAGACGAAACAATAGTGTGTTTATGTTATTTAATTAATTTTTAAGAAGTAGTTTACATCTAGCAGTAAACAGAGCTGTTTACTTATTTATATATTGCAAGATGGTTTAGGCTTTCTTTGTAACAAGTGCATGGAATATAATTTTGGTTGAATATTATTTATCTAAGACTAAAATAAATTTCACTTAGTTGCCAAGTACTGAAGAATGCATTTTTAAAAATGCCAATGAAAGTCCCCCCCCCCCCCCCCCAGCTTGGCCTCAACCAACCAGTGGGCTTGTTGCATCTCCATGCTACACAAAGGGTCATAACAGAATGATGCACTACCCATGAATAGTCTCTGGTTTGAAAAACAACATTTGGGTTCTTAACTATGGTTACAAATAATAATTGTCTCTCTAAATAAGACTACTTTTTTTTTTAAAAATTACTTATCTCCTCGCTGCATAGACATTTGCAAATTGATAAGCCACCTAATTTAAGTTCAATTTGATTCATTTTATGATTCTTTTATTTACAGTTATTTTTAATGAAGCAATTTTAAAATTAATTTAAATAATTAAATTATATTCTCTGTAAAAAAAAAAAGATAAATAAGTTAACAATGAATATATGTGTATCAATGTGCACCACATCTGCATTTATTTAAAGCATTTTTTAGATGTTTCAGATATCAGTAGATGATTTCAAACATGAAAACTGTATGGAACATGTCTTTCAAAATATAAAAAAGGCATACATTTTGCATAGAATGTCAAACTTGCAAGATTAGCAATGTTTTGATTTATCCCCTCCCCCCAATACTCACATGGACAAAACTTAAAAAGCAAATCCAGCAACAAAAGCCAACTAGTTTGTTTAGAGGCCACTTTTTAATTAATAAAAAGGGCATAATCTAATGTCAGTGTTAATGCTAAAGGCCCTAGATTAAAGATCAATGTTATTTATTTTTATAGTATCTTTCAGTACTTTCATAAAGGCCTAGGCAGTTACTACAGTAATTTTCATAATTAATTACTAGGGCCTATAAGTTAATAAGCCTGTAGTTAATAATATTGTATCATTTAAGTATGGGTATACTAGTAGGCCTAGGGCCTATCTATAGACTATATAAAGTTAACAGAGAATACTATTCTATAGTACTCTATACAAGGGTCAATATGGCCTAGTAGTAGAGCACTAGACTTTTAACCTGAAAGCCCTGAGTTTGAATCTGGGGTTCAATACAGTCCTGAGCCCAAACAACTCTGATGGGTACCTAACTCACAGTAGGGAAAGTAGAGGCTGCTGAGCAATGCATAGTGCTGACCACACTATTCCATTCATATAGGCCTACCGAGGTCACAGATGAACTACTCCACTTGCCCATGAACCCAAAAATACTAATGAGTGTGTATAGGGCAAGGTACATAGCTAGATTAAAGGATCAAGGCCTTAACTACTAAAACCTGATCTTTTAATGGCCATGGTTGGATGGAATATTGGAGTGTAATGGTATTACTGATGTCAGAAAATAGATAGAATCTTCAGAAAATATAGGCCAATGTGTTAGTAATAGTAGTATTGTGATGTCATGTTTAGTGTTATGGTTAGAGATTTCAATTATGTAGGTAGGATGGGTTACTGTTAGGCACTGTACTGTTAGGGTTACATTGACATTAGCAAGTCACACAAAGTAGGCTCAACTTATAGTTAGGCCTAAGTAAATACCAGTTAATCTATAATAATAGTTTCGCTGTCTGTGTATCTATCTATCTGTGTATGTATCTGACAAGAAGGGGGGGGGGGGCAAAGCCCCCTCATCCCAAGTAGAGTTGCCTGAAAGAAACTCTAAATGCGACTTTTGTCATGAATGAGATTAGGTGCATGATTTATTGATATGCCTATGACTATATTTTGTATAAATTAAAGTACCGAGAAAATAGACAGCACTATCAACATAGCGCCCGTTGTATCCTTCCTCAACGGGCCATTTTTCTCATCTAACTTAATAATATTAGAATACTTAATAAGAAGATGCCATTAATTTATAGTGACATTTCATTGGACGATGGTATAAGTAATAACACAGTCAACAATGGCTATATTTGCAAGTCATATTTGTGTTTTAATTTTATTTTAAAGTTTAAGGACTGGGTGTAGTGTAGGCAGTTTATTAAGAAGACTCCAATTTCGTGGCATTATACACTAGACTGGTGTTCCTGTGACTGGGATTTTAGTGTAGTAGGACAGGATATTAAAGATTTTAAAGAAGGTCAAGAGCACAAGAGTCTGGTGCTGGTTAAAACAACAGGTGCCTACCTCTCTTCGAGTCTGTCTCTTGCTTGTCTCACCTGGAGTGCCAGCTTTTATGGTGCTTCGTGCTTGTTTTTCATAAGATCTAGATAACACTACTCTAGATCTAAACACTAGAATTCACTACATCTACCAACGCTAACCTAAACAGGGATGCAGTCTAAAGTAAATCTAGAGTACTAAAATAGATTCCTAGAGAGTCTACACTAGATTAGAAAATCTGCAAATGGAGCTCGAGCTAGCTTCCGGGGTTGCAAAAGCCGGCGACTAGACAACATCAACATTCTTTAAATAGTTGCATGAAAACTTCTAGATAGACATATTAATAAACAAGCCATTATGAAATACGGCTATCTAAATTACATATTCGTGCTATTTTAGATTTAGAAAGAAATGCCTTACCTCTAGGTAAATGCAAACGAAAATATGCAGCCAGCGAAAACAATGTATCGTTCTGTTCAACCCTCTGAACGATAAAGGTGACGCACTATCACTTCCTGGCTGTTCTGTTAATGATAAGTAAAGGTCGGATAACGTTTTATTTTCTGGTTAGATTTATTTATTTTCTGTTTATATTAACCCAAAATTAAAATATTCAAATAGTCTTTGGAAGTTAAATAAATAATTATGCAATAAGATTTAAGTATATCAATGCTGCACAGCATCACGCAATGTTTATTAGGTTGATAGCGGTTTGTCATAAATTAGCATAAAAACTTGTTTAGTAAACAGGCGGGGTAGACCTACATACATAAGAAGGTTAAATTAGGCCTAACGCGGATTCCTGTTTATAGCATTTTGTCTGAGAGTTGAAAATAGTTGAAATTGTTGCCTAATTGGGTCAATGATCTTATTGCAACAATGCACATTTTGAGTTTCTATCTTTCTACATTGGCTATATCGTATTTAATTTAAATGCCCGCACACTTTTTGAAAATGAAATAGGCATATAGATCTAATTATAATCAATTCACCCCGGAGACCACACTACTAGACCTCTAATCGTCCAACTAGTATAACCCCACATCCGATCACCTCACCACCTAGACCTAATTTCTAAACTTTAACTTTAATATCACACAAAAACTAATGTACATTCTATATTTAAAGCCAAGTGCCAGCTTAGAAAAAAATTACATTGTTTCCTAAATAAGACAAAATTCTTTAGTGGGTCATATTATCATCTGACATTGCAGTGACATTTACTCAACTGCCAGTAATTGAGTTAGCATTTAGTTTATGAGAGGCAGTACATAGGCAAGAACGTTTTAGGAAGGTTATAACCGCTACTCCCGCAGGCTCACAAAACAAGTTTTGAAAATGAAATAGGCCTAGATCTAGATCTAGATCAGTGGCGTAGGCATGGGGGATTAGGGGGGGGGGTGCAAATCGAAAGTTTGAGGGGGGGGGGGGGGTGTGCAAATTGAAAGTTTGAGGGGGGGGGGTGCAAATCGAAAGTTTGAGGGGGGGGGATGCAAATCGAAAGTTTGTCCCCGGGTAAAAATTGGAACCCCCCCCCCTTGAGACGATCCTGGCTACGTCACTGATCTAGATCTATATCCAACCCCGAAGACTACAATTATTAATCGTTCAACTCGACTCTTAGACAAAGTATCTCCCTTTAAGTTTAAGGTACATCTGTTGAGGACAGCGCGCTTAATCAACCGAGAAGTCTCAAACAGAGCTTCTTCCAGGCATCTCTTCTACCGCCCACTCCCCCACCCGAACGAAATGGAATTTATATAGAAAATATATACTTTTAACAGTGTCCGCTCCCCAATATTGTTTAATCATGTCAACAATAATGATAAGGATTCTCGTCAGCCCGGAAATGCCCATTATTTTGAACACCACCACCTTAACAAAATCACGTCTACGCCACTGATTAGAGATCTTACGTTGTGACATTCACTCTCTCCATTAATGAATGATTAACGTCATTAAAGACGCACTGACTCTAGTACAAAGCTCGACGGAGCATTACAATGAGAAATAAGACTTCAGCTGCTATGAACCCGAGTTTGCGAGCTATCACCCTTAACTAACCAATAACAAGAGTATTTTAAATGTGTGAGGGTGCGTGGGGCCCAATCAGTTTCTTCCAGGCCTCCCCCCCCCCCCCCGAAGAAAGTCTACCGCACCCCCCCCCCCCCGAACGAGATGGATTTTATATAGCAAACATACACTTTTACTAGTGTCTGTCCCGCCCCCCCTCCCGAAAAATGTTGACCCCCCCCCCCCCCGAAAATTTCAAGTGCCCCCCCCCCCCCCCCCCGGAGAAAAAATCTGGAAGAAACACTGGGCCCAATGTATAACGCAGTACGCAACTAGAGGGAAGAGAGTGGGTTTTTTTTTTTTCTCAATTAATAAACTGACGGTATGTTGCATTTTAGGGGGTTGAAATGTAACATAGCTCACGTTTTTTGTTGATTTGTAACGATTTACAGATGTATTCGTTTCGTGTAGATAAAGACTATTACATGGAAGATGTACAACTTAGTAATGAAGTGTGACGATTTATTAAACGTTTGATGCAAAATAGTTTTTACTATATAATTATAGAAACAGCGTGTAAACAAGCTAACGGGGAGGAATACATTTTCACATTAAATAAAGAGAACAAACACTAATAGCCAACAATGTCGCAATTTATTTATATTCACAACTCATAATGTGATGATTTATTTGACTTCTTTAATTAGAGAACAGCGCTAATGAAATGCCCGGGCGAACAGCACTTCTTCTTCCAACACAATTAAGTATAAACTGGTTATGCACCATTGAGGCCACTGACTCCGATTTCAGCCTGCTTTTCTTTTTGGATTTGCTTCCATAAACTTTGTCCAACCAAGAACAAAATACAAATTGTTTGATTTTGGAGTTGTCTGTCCTAGAAGAGTGGCTGACCCCAGCTATCGAGGGTTCGCACTAAACTTTTCAGTTTAGCAACAATGAGCTTTACCAACTCGACCACGCCCCCGACCCTTAGCACAGCAGATGATTTGTAACCCGTAAGTCTAGTTCGGCTCCCGAGCTCAAATATATGCCTCAGATATTATA